TTATACACAATTAGCAACTCCAATGGAGAAATAATGGAACTGAATTTATAATCATAATAGACTTGCTCTTTTCTTTGTTTCTCTTTCTTGGTGGCAGACACAAACCCTTCTTGCTGCCAAATGAAGGTCTTGTTACCATCTTTTTATATCTACAGTACAGTAATCGCCCAACCATTTTTCACGATCCAAAGTTCATTTTGGGTTTCCAACACTTGCTTACGCATCCTACGTAAACCGGGAAAGCAGGAAGGGCAGTCTAAGTAGAATGCCACTGGGAATATAAAAGAAACAGCATTTCAGTGATCTGTGAAGCACTCAATGTTTACTGGCCCCGAGATGACAGACAAGTACAATTATGTGCTCTTCACTGAAATGCTAAAAAGAAACTGCTTGTCAGGCACCCTATGGCAAGGAGAAGAGTAGGCTGCTGATATCCTGGACTTCTTCTGTAGACATGCATTTCATTACAAACCTCATGAATTCCCTCATTAAGGCTAAGTAAAACTAGGGCAGGTTTCCTGACCAACATTTATAAACCTATGCTTTTCTTTCTTTATATAGAACAAGTTTTCATTAGCATTTACATATTTAATTAAGTGACACAGGCTAACACTGAAAATGCTTTCTAACCTGCTTAATTTCTTCCACAGAGGAACTTGATTAAGGTGATATGAGGCTCATCTAACCCCTAGGGCCTCTATGTTCCACAGCAATATACAATCAATGGCTGGGACCCTCATGTGCTGTAAACTGAAGTAAATCCACTGAAGTCAATGACATGTTGACTTGCCTATACACAGAAGGGACTGAGTCCAATGCTACAGGAGGTGCCCTCTAGCCATACATCCCTGGGTACAGTAATTTACAACCACTGGGGATCTGATCCCACATTCTGAAATATAAATCTATGACTCAGCTTGACTGAACTTTAGTATATGTGTTAAACAAACTGCAGGGCAAATTAAGGCAGAAAGAATTTAATTCCCCAAGTAGGATTTCAGCCACAGTTCAGAAGTTAAAGGGACTTTGTTCAGTGAATTACTTTAAGGATTTCTTTACTGATACTTTATCAGCTAAAATTACTTAGACAGAAAGAATGTTAAAATCTGATATTGTTCTCCATTATTAATGATCTACATATGCTTTTCTGCTTGGAGCACAAAACAGACTAGCCAGTTTCCCTTTCTGGTTGTCATTAATCAGCACACTGTCACACAATATAAGCATTGAGGAGGAATGTTTACATCCTTATCAAACACTGTTCCTACTAAATATTTTTTAAAATAATTGATAGAGTTTTGTTAATCTTAAATTGCACATTACTTAACATAATCTAAAGCAACTCAAACACCATTGCTCTTTACTTTGCAAAAAGTAAAATGGAACCTGCACCAAACAGACCCTCAATAAATGACCTATTTTTTTATGTCACACTACAAGATGCTACTTCTCCTTGGATTGTCCTTGTGCATTTGTTAAATACTAACTCTGCTCAGACGAAACTGCCAGCTTTCAAACTGTTACTACCACTTCAGGGAGCACTTGCTGAAAAGTATTTTGCAGAGGTCTTCAGTGTTGATACAGAACTGGTCCAAACTTGTCCAGCTTAATTCTGGCAGGGTGACAAAGCAAAGGGGAAGGCCTGAAGACTTCAGCAGCCTGTAGTCTATAGTATCTTTGTGTATCAAGTTCTGTTCTGACATGCATTATTTTTATAGGCTATGTGAGGAGACACACTATTTCTGAAAAAAAGTTAGGCAATTTCCTAGCAAAGATTACTAAACAATTCCTGTACATGGATAAAGCAATCTAGAACACTGTGTACCCTAAACACTAACATTAGCACACAAAATATTTCCCTTTTTACAAAGCTTTAAAAATTTGCATTTACCATTAAAAAAACCCCCAAAACTACAGTATCCACAACTTGAAAATTGTACCACAAAACTAGCTCGCTATTTCCTGATGGACATCCAGCAGATAAACAGCTTCACCTAGTGGCTGAACACAGTTATAGAAGTGTTCAAACAGCTTGCAAGGTCTCCTCTGCCTCATTTGTCTCATCTGTGGCCAAAACAAAAAGGATTGGCACCAATATCAACACTAATGTCTCACCATTTATCAAACAAAACTAATAATCTCAACACAGAAGGTCTGCAGTAGAGGGACAGAACAAAAATATCCTAGACTGTTTAACTGGAATCAAAATGAGCTCAATGCTCTTATAACAAAATTCTAGAAGAAAAACATAACATAAAATACATAACCCTTTCTCCTCCTCTCCCAACAGGGCCCTTAGATAAACTACCTTTTAAATTCACAAACTATAAAGCTACTTAACTTGTTATACATATAGACTTTTTTCCTATTGCTTAATAACTCAGCAAAAGCCCAGAAGACTGGGTGAATTGACAAGACTATAAAAAATGGGGCAAGACATATCAATTTTGGGTCTTGTTCTGCATGTCTTCCTGGAGCACTGGTTCATCTGATGAGATGGACCGGCAGGAACCTGGCTCCCTACTCATGATCAACTTGGCTGGCCACCAAGTTAATCCGAGTATTGATAAAACTGGTAATGTATACCAGTGCAGAACATAAATTGGGGTATGAATGTTGGGGGGGTGGGGGAGGGGTGTATTAAGCACTTAATCAATGAACGCAGCCTCTTACCTTATCCTCCCTTATAAGGTCTCGCTCATGATTTGAGCAATTGGCAATTTGCGTAACAAACTGATGTACTTGTGGGACTCCCATTATCAGAATATATGAGTGCTTCAGTCTTCAGTTAGAAATGCAAAAATCTAGAACTCTTGGTTCACAGATGATACCTTTTATTAGGCCAACTAAGAAACTGCAAAAAAAATATCTTTTTCTGTAAGCTTTTGGGCTCACATACCCTCTATCAGGCTCAGGGAAAATTGATAAAGGGTGTGTGAGCCCAAAAACTTGCAGAAAATGATAGGCTTTTTGCGATTTCTTTGTTGGTCTAATAAAAGTTCTCCCTGAACCAAGAGTTCTAGATTTTTGTATTTTTTTTTGTCTCAGGCCAACATGGCTACAAAATACACCCCTCGCAGTCTTCAGTGTAATTCTTCTTCCAACACCCACATCAAGTAAGGAAAGGCTATTTTCACTGTTCTACAGATAGTGTCTTTGGGCACAAACAGAAATGACATTTGTCACCTGATAAGCCCCTTGAAATCACTCTAAAGCGATGCCCAAACAGAAGAGCATGGCTGCAGAGCTCTCCAATCGTGCAACAAATTAACCTTCATTGTATAAGGGTTCAAATGAAGCTGCTCCTAAGTGGAGTGACTTAATTAATTTTTGTCTGTTCTGGTTGCAGCACAGCAAACTGCAGCTGCTGTCTCTGGATGGGCGGAGGAGAAGGTGGGGGACGGAGGTACTTCTCTGGTTTTCTCAGCCCCACTGGAGTACAGGGGCCAGTGGATTGGGACTTCTCCTTCAGTTCCTGCATGATTTGACTGAACTTACACAAGAAGCCTGCATTCAACAATATGCCCCAGCACAAGTCTCCTGAGTCTTAAACAGATGCCCTAATTGTTTGCACATACATCTTCTCTCTAGTTTTTCTGCTGTGCTGTACTGCCATTTTAAATCAAACAGAAGCCAATACCCCTCCTTCTCATGACTTTGTTGACTCAAGAATCACGTGGACTTTTGAATGTGGACTCTTTTCACAGCCCCCACTGGTCAAGTGGCCATACTGCTACTCATCCTGAGCTCTCACACTTCAAGGGTCACTCCATAAAAAAATAACTACAGTAAAAGCTCTGCTATCCAGCATCATGGGGAATGGGGAGCGCTGGTTCATCAAATATGCCGGTTATCTGAGAGTTATGTCACAATACAGCACAAGCACAACGCAATCACAATGGCGGATGTGTACATTTGAGACTGCTGCTAGCGACATCGCTGGGCAGCATCCTGAAGCTTCCGTAAATGACAGATCTACGAGAAGAGCATGGCAAGATGCTGGATGGCTATCAGAGTATTTCCGGATACATGAAGTAAGATTTGTATTGCCATCTATGACAGATGCTTGTTAATAGAGCATTCCAGGTGGTAAAGTGCCAGATAACACAGCTTTTACTGTACCTTATTTACCCAAATCCAAGATAAGTTTGAATTTAAAATGACCCTCCAATACTTAGATTCCATACATGGAAAAATCATGAATTGTTTATAATTTTCTATGTCTAGAATCTAATTACAGCCCCCGCCCAGTGCCAGTGTGCCCTAGCTCCTGCCTCTGCCACAGTACCTGCCCCCCTGACACCTGCTCCCTCAACACTTGCCATAGATGTAGGGGGAAAATATTATTTGCGGGGGCTACATGCATGCATCGGCACAAGAAGTACAGCTCCCATCATACTCTGTGCAGTATGATGCATGTGCAGTTAGACTCTTCTTCCTCAGCTGCCTGGAGCTGAGCATGCATGGGGTGCTGGCCTGGACGCACACTGTGTGGCGCCATGGTGCTGCTGCTGTCACTGGCCACTGCAAAATTAGTTTGGGGGGGCTAAGGCCCCCCCCAGCCTTGGCCTTCTGCCACCCATGCCACTTACCCCTCTATGCCTGTGCCCCCTGTGCCTGCATCCCCTGGAGCTTACCCCCACCCCCTCACCCAGTAAGTGGCAGCAGTGGTAGCAGAAGGGGGAGTGGCAGATGGTGGGGAGACAGACAGGGAAGAAGAGGCTGTGGGACAGAGGTGGCAGCACTGGGGACAGGCAGGGGTGGGGGCAGAGCAGTACAGGACAGAGGCAGCACAGGGCAGGCAGGCAACAGCTGTGGCTCCAGCTCTGACAGCAAGTAGGACCTGGAATTGGAGCTGCAGTAGCTACCTGCCCCTCTCCCCTCTCCCCACAGCCTTGTACTCAAATCCAAGATGAGGGGCCTTTCCCCCCCATGTTTAATGGGGAAAAAGACCTTGTCTTAGATTTGAGTAAACATGGTAAATAAATAGTTGGACCTACCAGTAATTTCAGTTGTCATTGAAACTAGCACAGAAAGATCCAAAGCTGTGATGGAAATATTCACAGAGTAATTAGTGCCAGGCTGTAAATCCAGACAAATTTCTGGAGTTAGCTTGTACGTGGTGAGGTTAAAGGTCATTTCATGAAAGAATTCCTGCT